TGGTATAAACCAAAAATTAATAAGCTGAATGCTCTGTCACTTCCTATTGCTTCTGCTTATAGAACTTATAATTACTTTGGACATTTGCCCCTTATATCATAAAGACTTCTTCCTTCAAAAACAGCTCAGAAGTTTCGTCAAAACATTAAAAGATTTGGATCCTTATTTTTTATGGTTAGTTTTGATGTATAAAGCCTTTACAAATTAAGTTCACAGTCGAAAATAAAGTTCATGATAAACTTTTAAGTTTTTAGTTAAAAAAAGAAAGAAACATAGATTTCCCACCTCCGTTTTTCGTAAGAATTCACACTCGGGAGTTTACTTTCATTGGAATTTCTTCCATGATCCTAAACAAAAAATGGGGACCATAAAATTTCTATTTCATACAGGTAAAACTATTTATTCCATTCACCCGACTCCCCCAGTAGGACAGCAGTAAGTTTGTGTACTTACAACGTAAAGTTTGGGGTTCGATTCCACGCGGTGGACACAGCAGATGTCCTTCTGTGGCTTTGATAAAAATAACTTTCACCTAACTTTTTTATTGAGAAAAACGCATGAATATATCAATTTGTATCACAAAATAAGTATCCTTCCGAAATAATAAATAGAACTTCATAGCTCTTTAGAGGTCGAAGAAACTAACATAAGGAATTTAGAAAAGCAGCCCTTTTATTGTGTGTTACTGTAACATTCCTAAACTTTTGCACAAACATGGTCAAAAACTGTTAAAGAGTATGTTATGGATTTCAATGTAAAATATCCTTTCGCACCAACGAAGAAATTAGGTCAACTTCTGTCAAGAAACTATGTTGACATCGACATGTTAGGATCAGTGTATCAAATAAAATGTAAAAAGTATAATAGTTCTTACATCAGAGAAACTAACCGACAGCTTTCAACATGACCGAAAAACATTTCAAAATTCCCTACAATTTCAATTTTTTTTGTTTATACGTAAATAAATAAATAATAACGATATCGAGCCTGCAGTGTTGTGTTAATGACACGTAAGTTATAGAGCCTGTCAAGATAGCATGCAAACCTCCTAACTTCTTCACGGAATTTTCTAGAATTTCCTGTCATTTATTACCTGAGTTTCAGAATCCCTACAGCTGCCGCCCTGTCTCCAAGATATATAGTAAAATAGGAGGGCATGGGAGTTAAGTTGACAACAGACCTCATCCTCTTTTGATCTTTTTTTTGCGAAATAGTATAAGCATTTCTTTACGTTTTCTGCCAGATTTCAGATTTCTTACTTCTGTCGTCGTTTCGGAATTATAAAGTGAAATGATTGGAAATGTGGCGAGATTCTACCTTCGAAATTTTTGTGAAATGTTTCTTGAATTTTTTACAACTTAATACGTATTTCAGAGGTATAAGTGTCTAACTTGACGAAAGCCTTCACCCCCGACTTTATTTACGAAATATTATGAGTCTTTATTGCTAATTTTCTACTAATGCAATTTGAGAATTATAAAACAAAATTATATCTGTGAAAGCTATCGTAACGTTACTTGCTTCTCCCACTTTGAAACTTTGCATACATTTTATGTCATACTTTAATAGTTCTGTTGGGGTAGTTAAGCACAAACCTACATAATGGGCCATCTGTGTTCTGCCCGCCACGGGTATCGAAACCTGGTTTTTAGCGTTGTAAGTCCGCAGACTTACCGCTGTGCCACTGGGGGGGGGGGTCATAGTTCTGAGAACGTTTCGTAATTCCTTCCTTTACCGTTTTGGATATTTGCTGACGAAATGAGCTCCAGTGTTAATTACTCGATCGGCAAACTTTACAAACAAACAATATTTTGTTTAACCATCAAAACCATCTCTTTTTACTTCAAACGTGAAATACAGAATCGAGCCAGTGGTATAGATATTACCACATTGGATATAATGTCAACGAATATTTTACTTCTTGTTTATTGACTATATGAGTCATTGTATGTCAACTCGGTTGGATACCATCAACTCACTATTTAAACACATTTCTTAATTTAATTATTTCCAAACACCTTCAAATACAATTATTTATACCCATTTTATTACGAGCGTTAAATATTTTAAAGTATAGTGAGAGTTAGTGGCATAGATATCGAAACACATATTGAATATGTATAAACAATTAAATATAATGAGAGTGGACATCTGTAGGTAAGAAAGAGATGAAGCGAATTCATTAATTTCAGCTTTAGAATGTATTGTTGATGATTTATCACTTAATTCACGAAACGTCATATAAATAAAGCCGCGAGAGTCATAAAAAAAAGAACGCCATTATCAAGATGTTTATATTATACTGTAAGAATTCTCTTGTCACGGTTCTCCATCTAGTTTCGCTTGTCACCTTTCTCCATTTCTAGTTTCGCTTGTCACCTTTCTCCATCTTTAGTTTCGCTTGTCACGTTTCTCGATCTCTAGTTTTGCTTGTCACGTTTCTCCATTTCTATTTTTGCTTTTCATGTTTCTCCATCTCTAGTTTTGCTTGCCACAGATCTCAATCTCTAATTTCGCTTGTCACGTTTCTTTATCTTTAGTTTCGTTTGTCACGTTTCTCCATCTCTAGTTTCGCTTGTCACGTTTCTCCATTTCTATTTTTGCTTTTCATGTTTCTCCATCTCTAGTTTTGCTTGCCACAGTTCTCAATCTCTAATTTCGCTTGTCACGTTTCTTCATCTCTAGTTTCCCTTGTCAAGTTTCTTCATCTCTAGTTTCGCTTGAGACGTATCTCCATCTCTAGTATCGCTTACTATGTTTCTCCATTCTCAGTTTCACTTGTCACATTTCTCTACCTCCAGTTTTTTCTGTCAACTTACTAATATGGCACTTGAAAGAAATGACAAGATATTGAGAATATTTTGTATTTAAACAACAAGGTAGGAAAGAGTTAAGCTCTTCACAGGTTTGACTTTATACTTAAAAACGTCTGCAACAGGGAATTGAAATTATGCAAGAAATCAGCATGAAATCCTAACAAAATTATACTGAAAGATTACGAAGTGGGAGGAACTGACATCACGTTAGACACTCTCCGATAAAACTTTATATCATTTTAATCCTCAAATTACCAAGTTTTCTTACTAACGATGGGATCTACATTTCGAGCAAGCTAATGTTTTGTTTTTCGCGTTTTTTTCTATCATAACATTCAGTGTAATGAACTGATTAAACAATTCTGGTGAAATCGCTCGTATTATTCATTATTGAAAATATTTAAATTGAAAAAAAACAAGAATTATTTAAAGGGCAGGTAATAAGTAGTCCGGAATTTAGGTTTGTAACCAGATACAACAGACACTTTGCTTGAGGGTTTTAGTCCAGTGTAACTTACTTACGATGATTTGTAAGTTAAATATAGGTTTGTAGGCGTTACACATTGATCACGTCGAGACCAGATCCCCTACTAATAGACTACTAGTTTCACATATACAACTTCGCAGCACGTGTGTCGGTGACGCACGTGGGTACTCAGCAAGCGGCGAGTGTCACAAGGCTGGTTGGCGTTCGATGAATGTGAAATGAATTATATATATACAGTAAGAAATAGGAACTGTTACCAGCTTATCTCTATTTTCATGAGAAAATAGTTAATTAAAACAACAACAAAAAAAAACATTATTTAAATCCAGTAAATATTTTTTTTTATTGTTTGTAAAGAATTTCTAATAACGTACTTCAAAATACTAACTTAGTTCTGCAATATTATGCAACATTACAATAACTCTGAAAATTTAAGAGCATGGTATAACATACCAAAGTTAGCACTGAAAAGTTAAAAGCATTATAATGAATGTTTATTAGAAATGTATTTGTTGTTGTTGTTGTTTTCACTCTTAAAACATTAATATGATTTTTAAAAATATCGAAATTGGTGAAAGGAAAAGATTGGGTTGTTTGCCATTCTTTCACGTACAACCTATTTTTAAAAATATAGTTTGAATATTCTGAAGCAAATAAACAACGATACCTAGAAAATTATATCGCTCAGCCCATGAATTCCCAAGTGTTTATTTAGCCTGAATGTTTATTTTCATTGTAGCAAAAGTGATATTTTTTCCTACTCTCAGATTGGTTCTTTGTTTTAGTTAACGATATAAGTAACGCCATTTTTTTCAGTAAGGCCATCTTCTTCATATATTACATTTGGATAAAGGTGTTTATATTAAAAAACTAAACTGATTATTTATTAATAGTTGATTGTTTATAAGAATAGTCAACTATTCGAAAGCGCTTGAATTTTGAGTCTTTTTTTTAATTCATTGCACCGTTTGGATGTTTATATTTAGCCATCCACATTTCAACACTGATAAGTAGCTATTAGTGTTACAGTGGATTTGGAAAATAAGAATATTTATTGAACTACATCTTGTTCGTAAAACTACGCAATGGATTACCTGTACTTTGTCCATCACGGGTATCGAATCCCGATTTTTTAGCATTATAAGCCCTCAGATTTAGCGCTGAGTCACCGAGAGGCTTGAGCTACATTATTAATCAGATGATTGTAAAATTATTACTAAAATTACTGACTACTTCAACAACTTTGCGTATCAAAAATGCATAATCAGCTAGAACTTCAAGAATGTTTTCGCTGGTGATTTTTAGGTTTAAAACGTAAGACAGACGACTTCGGGATAATACACTTTGAATGTTCTAAAGCAAATCATCGTAGCAGTACCATTGTAACACATGACTTTGTGATAGAAGAGCTTGGTTGAGGGTCAGATAATGTTGTTAGCTGTATAGACAGACGTTTGACAAATACCTGCACTAGATGTAGCGGGAAAAATGGCATTGTTAAGACTGCGAGGTCAAGTACTTAACTTGCCTACTGAGGATGTCCACCCACTTTTATCTCCATAGCAGTACGTCTTCACCTAAAGGTGTGAAAAACGACTTCAAGGGTTCTCTAACAAGAGTTGCTCAGGAAGTTTATTCACTCGGGCTGGCAGGCCAAACCATCAATAACTAACTTTAACGAAGCCATTATTTCACAGGTGTCGACGCCTCGCTACCCATTTGAAGAGACTGATAGGCTGACCAGCGGCTACTAACAGCTCCTATAGCTTCTGAAACCTCAGAGAAAATGCCTCATAAAGGTAGGAATAGAATGTTTCATAGGGGTAGGAAGTCTACTTATCATTTTGAATTACAAAATGAAGCCTGCACGTATGTTTCGTTTTTAAATGAATTTGTAGTTGTGTAATTTATATTACAAGATAAAAAAGTTTAAGTGAAATTGTAATAAATCTTTAACATTATTCATTGATAGAAAATTCAACTTGTTGTTAATGCACAAAGCGGAATACTATAGAAGTTGTGAGTCCTCAAAAGTATTGTATTTCATCTACCAATCTGTTTGTTTGATTATCTATCGATAAATAGGCCTTTATAAATGTCAACTAGTTTGATTTCACTTTAAAAAAGTGAGGATGTTATTTTGTAATAGGTATGCTTGCTGTTTGTTCTAGTTAAGTATTCTTTCTGTTTGGGCCATTGAGCAGTTGATAGAGTGTGTGAATATTTTGTAACAAAAAACTTCAACAAAGTCTCACTAATTCGATGACGAGGAACCCACTTTGAGACTAATAATGGCTGGAGACGGCTTAAATGGGTAATGAAGATGACAAAACCTTGTCGAAACGTTGTACATTTGCTGTCATGTTAAACTTACATTAAAGTTTTTCTTCATTACCCATTTAAGCCGTCTCCAGCCATTAAAAGTCTCACTAAACACCATTAACCTTCTCAAAAATTCTAAGACTAGGTGAAATTGTTGTAAGATCGTACCAAGCGTCATCACCGGACACGTTTTTGCTCATAATTTTCTGAAAAGTTTACTTAATAATTCTTCAATTACATTTTTTGTTGTTGTTTACTTCAGGTCACAGTGGAGTAAATCAGCTAGGTGGAGTGTACGTGAACGGACGGCCGTTGCCAGACTCGACCCGTCAGAAGATCGTGGAGCTGGCCCACAGTGGTGCTAGGCCTTGTGACATTTCCCGCATACTGCAGGTCTCTAACGGTTGTGTTTCTAAGATACTGGGACGTTACTACGAGACCGGCTCCATCAAACCCCGGACCATTGGTGGCAGTAAGCCACGTGTGGCCACTTCGGCTGTGGTGAATAAAATAGCCGACTACAAACGAGAGTGTCCTTCCGTATTTGCCTGGGAAATTCGAGACCGACTCTTAGCAGACGGGGTGTGTAACAGTGAGAACATTCCAAGTGTAAGTACACTCAAAAACAACATGCTAGTTACAACTGTGAATGTAACGGAGAAGATTAGAAACGTCGCGAATTCATTCAGACTATTAAATTTGATAGTCAGCATTTGCTAGTCTCTGATTCTGGCATAAAAAAATGTATTTTCACCTTTAGTAACATTACTTGAAAAATAAATGTTAGATTACAATTAAACTGAACTAACTGCTAAATGGAAATTTTTTTATAAAATAATTTTATGTTATATATTATGTAAATATAAAAAAGCATTGGTCGTAATTTACTTCTTTATGATAGACTGATTAACATTTTGGAATGTTTTGTAAAAAAAATTTCTGCGTAGCCTTTATTAACGTTTGTTTAAATAAAATTGTTAAGCAACACATGCTGACATCACATTAAGATCATCATTAGGGAATACAGTAAAGAAATCCCTTTAGTTATATAGATGGCAAAATATTTGAAACTAGTATATGTCACACTTGCCCCCTGATGTGATGTTAAATGTGCTCTTAATGACAACCGTGAAGTTGTGTGATCGCTGCGGAGTCCTGGCAGTCTTTGTCACGGGGTCACCCCTACACAAGTTGGAACTCGATATCAACATATGCTATCATATTGTGTCTCCGCTCAATTACGTGGCTCAACCTCTCTGGAATCTTTTAATCACTTAAGAAGTGTGATTTATTAATAATGATATACAGTTCTGATAAAGGTAAACATGTAATGTATTCTAATTAATATTTCTAATTATTGATTAGGTTTTCAATCATATAACTCGTGTTGATTTCAATTAATTTTCGAAATGCATTTATCTTTTTTCTTCTTATAAGTATTCAAGTAAGTGACAAAAATGTTCGTTTTAAAACCAAGACTCATCTAAACGTATACTCCTCGTATTCCGACGGAATTATAACATAATCACTACAGTAAATATGTAGTTTTGGAATTTTCTATAAGCTAGCTTGAAGACACCGTACAATGACTTTTACTCCAGAAGCATTGTTTTAGGAATTCGCTCGACCCAAACCACGTATAAGACTGTTTGATTGCATATGATAGGGCAACCCTTGCTGTTTAAGTTTTGAGGGGGTGTGAAGTTAGATTGTGTCTTACGTTTTTTTCTACACATAGGTTTGACTGCTTGCCGTTGTACGGACAGCTCATGTCGTGTAAATGAAACCCAATGCCCAGGGACTTGAACATGTATGACTGACAACTGTGACAATCCAAACAATAACTCCACATGTGCTTATAGTAATGACGATAATGATGACAGTTTCAATGAAAACGTAAATTAAAACTGACAAAACTGTGTAGCAATTTACACATTTGTATGTAATATGTGCTATAGGATTAACTGTCGAAATGTACTTGACACATCTTATTACAGTCTTTTTGTGTCTATATAACTTATAATGTTTGATAGCCGTTTTTAGGATAAGTTAGGAAATGTATCCTTATTTGTCTCGCAACATTTAAATTGTTTTGGTAAATGAAATTAAATCTACATCCATTAAAACATATTATGATATAGAACTAACTACAGATATCATACAACTACTAAATGATGTTTGTAAGGCATTACAACCTTCTATTGAAACACTTGTCTTTATTATGTCAACGTATGGATATAGTGAAGCATCTTATTTGTTAATCTTTATGCACTTACCTTCATTTCCATCGACTAAATAATGTGCTACTTTCATTAAACAGTATTGTGGTTTGATTAAATAATGTACTACTTTCAATGTATTTGTTTTATTACATGAAAGTTTGGGCGCTATGTGATTTAAGTCTTATATGAACAGAAATGTGAAAACAAGAAATAAACATATCTTGATCTTGCAGAAACAATTGGCTAAAATCGCAAAATAATATTATTATAATACATTTTAAATAGTTTGACGGGTTGATAAAAGGGAAGCGAATATATGCATAATAACATTTGCAATCAATCTGAGGGTGACGCACATATATTTTTATGACAAACATTTTAGTAGATGTATTAAAACTAGCTTAATATCACATTTGTTTAAAGATGGAGATTATCGTTGCTATACACTGAAACATTTAAGCTCGTACTTCAATGATGAAATGATAGGTTTATGTACTATTCAAGGTGTGCGAACATGATGTTAAGGAAAACAATTATCCGTGAAAACAAATCCATAAATATGATTGCTTTAACAATATGTGAAGTCATACCTTGTGTGTGGTATGGGTTGCCGATGACCATGCATATCTGGCTGGGTATAGTTCCTGGGATATCCGTACAAATCCACACTAGGGTTTAATTCGTCTCTCTTATATCTAACATTTAAAGATCTGGCATTGGAGGAAAGGCCTTGTCGGCACTAAAGATAGCAGATGTAGTGTGGTTAATATACAAAATAATAGAAGAACATTTATTCTTGTTCAATACTAAATGTGCAATGTGTCCAAGATGTCACGAATCATTCTTATAGTGCAAACCTGGGTCAAAACAGTTCTGAGCAAAAGCAGCCTTGCTTTGGGAAGAATTTTCATGAACACTAAAACCAACATTTTGAGATCTTCTTTGAGATCGAGTTTTAAACTTAGGTTAAGTTTTATATGAGATATTGGTCTAGCGAGTTTTCTCTTGATCAAAAACTTACTAATTTAGGGTTCAAAATTGAAACATTTTGCTCTATTCATATTTTACAGGCAAAAGTACCTGAAAATGCTGGGCTTAAAAATATCGCTATAAATGGGGACGTGGGACGTCACCTCCACTATTTTAATCTGTAGCTCACGAACAGATTGTCCAATGCAAGGTTCCCGTGGTACACGCGGCAGTAAGAGCCACTTTCGTTTCATTTTCACGTGTTTTACTATATACATCCTCGCTTAGTTGAACTCTCGTTCGTGGTTATCTATTTAAACTAGATATCTAAAGAGTCCATCTGATTTCTTATCTATTTAAACTAGATATCTAGGGAGTCCATCTGATTTCTTATCTATTTAAACTAGCTATCTGGGGAGTCCATCTGATTTCTTATCTATTTAAACTAGATATCTAGGGAGTCCATCTGATTTCTTATCTATTTAAACTAGATATCTAGGGAGTCCATCTGATTTCCTCAACCAAACTTCATCGACATTGGTTCATCCAGATCCTTACAAATACTTCTGACACAAGTCAGACAGAATGACGGAACTCTATACACATACATATGTCAGGGTTACTAAATTTACCCCATTTGCGTATTGTGATAAAATCAGATTTTAATATTCTAGGTACTGTTATTAGTATTTAAGATATTATCGATCTGTGATTTTATAGGAGTACCCGTTTGACACCGAAAAATAAATGTTTCTTAATTTATGTTGATTTACTTTCCTAACATTAAAAACAGCATGTTTCACTAGGGCAATGTGGTTGAAATATATTTTAAAATGTTCAGTGACGTTTAGGGAAACTTTTGGTTACAAATAACGTCAAAGCTGTATACGTTTCAGTCATAGCAATTTGGCTGTAAATACATGTTGTGAAGAAATATATATATATATGTTGAATTATACAAACAAAAAAATGTTATCGTTGTTCCTTAGACCTCACTTTGGATTTGGTATACGTTTCAAACAATTATTTTCTAACATATTTATGATAACAAATTATCTAACTGGATCACAACTCCACTTAACTATAATAAAATGGATTTCTAGGTCCCCTCATCGTTTGTTTGTTTGTTGTTAAGCCCAAAGCTATACAATGGAATATCTACCGATTTACCGCTGTGCCACTGGGGGGCAGGTCCCCCTTATCTAAGGGGGAAAAACAACAATAACAAATAAATACAGCTACAGTGCATGTTGTAACTCATCTTCTGTTTATGGTTAATGCAAATAATTGGCTGAAATTACTACGAAGTAAAAAGTGGAGAATGTGAAACGAAAAAAAATTCAGCTTTATCAGTTCTTTTGTATCTGATGCACGATTCAGTTGTTTTTGAAGTAAATGTTTTTAAAATCTTGTTAGAACTTGAACTCCCAACTATTTCCTAAAACCTGTGATAACAGATAAATTTCAGCCTCTTTCTTTTTTGTCATACATTATAACAAGTTTAAGATATTAATTAATAGTTTTAAAGTGTCTTTCACCGGAATATGCAACATACAAATCTACCTTCGTGTACAAAATATGAAATGAAAACTTTACATTTTACCCACTGTATTACCTTAAAGATAGTTGCTATTGGATAAGTCATCAAAATAATAGCATGTATTTGCCTAAAACGAAAGCAAAACATTCAGTTCTTTTCATTTCAATATGTGTCATGCTTCTAAGCCTTTGCGTCTCGTCGTATAGTTCTATACAGTTATAGTTCTGGTTATTAGAGTGAATAGTCACAAATGGAGTATAATGGTTACAATATTTTTCTTCTCATAATAAGAGTAAATCGAAGGGTTTGTTTGTAGTTGAACACAAAGCTCCACAATGGGCTATCTGTGCTCTGCCCACCCCAAGTATCGAAACTCGGTTTCTAGCGTTGGAAGTCCGCAGACATACCGCTGTGCCACTGGAGAGCGAGTAAATCAGAAACAAAAAAACAGAGTAGTAATCTGATACTTCATCTCTGATTATCAGATTAACTCATGTTTGCACACGTTCTTATTTGAGAAGTCCTTGTGATTAGCGGCAAAAATCGCATGGTTGTACATTTCTAATTACTTCAAGTATATCTATAATGTTCGAACACACCACATAAAGTTTAACGGTTTCCCGTTTGTTGATTTCACTGATTATTATTTACCTATAATTGAAAATCGTTGCATGCATGCGTCAATCAAATATTTCCAGTAAGACGAGTGTGTTTGGAAGCTATCGTTTTAAATGACTTGCTGGGTGTCGAGATTGTAGGGATAGGTGCGTTTTTCTGTGAGACTGCTAGTGGGTCACCATTTTTAGTGCTATATTTGTCAATCAATTGCGCTACAGGTGGTCTGTACAATGCACACAGGGTAATCCTGTGAGAAGGTGTCGGTGCTAAGGTGAGATGTTTCAAAAATTGCTATGAGCAAAATTCTTCTGTGAATTTGACAAGCGTATCTAACTGGCTTTAAGATTTGACAAGAAAATTGGCAGTTATGTCGACCAAATCAATGACGTCTTTTTAGCAGGAGAAAATCTTTCCGCTGGTCTGAGTTTTGACGTGGTTATTATATGCGCCAACTAGGAGTGGACTAGGAAACATAACGACACCCATAATACGCGTTACTCGGAGCATGTGCAGCGACTTGTACTCGCATTTTTTATTTTCATTTTTTTGGCCTTGTGTCATTCCTGGTCACTCGCGCTGTAACCGGAATCTTATTATTTCGAAACCGGGAAGAAAATGCCATAAATGAGTTAAACAAATATTAAGAATGGATTTCTTGTAGAAGTAGATTTTGAATGACTTTCAAAACAACATCCTGTCATTCCGAAATTTATATATCGTATATATTATTTCTTAGGAGATAATTATTTTTAAATCAAAATAACTGCCAAGAACAACGCAATAGAAGAACTTGACTCCGAACTAAGCACATTTTAAATAACTACTAAAGGATTTAACAACTTACAACCTACACACAAATCATGGTTATAAATTAGTTTCACAAAACACAAAATAGGTACTTCCAGCAATATATACTGACTAAAATAAAACCTGCTTGGTGTTTAAGAATGTGTCACGCTGAAACTTTTGGCACTGATATTTTTATTATCGTAAACTTGTTAATCATAATTATATAATTGTTTGCTACTATTCTACAGTAGTATATAGAAGCCCCCCAGTGGCACAGCGGTATATGTCTGAGAACTTACAACGCTAGAATCCGGGTTTCGATACCCGTGGTGGGCAGAGCACAGATAGCCCATTGTGCAGCTTTGTGCTTAATTACAAACAAACAAAGTATAGAGAATATTAACGCTTGAAAAACGTAGAAAACATAGCTTTTTTTATAAACAAGTTTTAATACGAATTCTAAAAAAAAACAACTAACTGAAACTTTTAAACAAAAAAGAAAGAGAATGTGTCATTAGATACATATTTATTTAGCTTGGTAAATACGGCAAGAATCACGAAAGAAACACACAATATCCAAAGCAAGTTTGAATTAATCACGAACATTTATTTTGAACAATTTTATGAAAGTATAGGAGTTAGTAAAATATAAAACTACATAGTAATAAACTAAACTTCTAAATATAAACCAGAAAGTCAGTAGCTGTGATATATATATATATATATATTATTGTTCCCTTGATAAGTTTTAGCGGTATAAAACTGGGAACCTAAAACATATAATCGCTTTCTTAGCCAAATCATTCACAAAAATCTTTTGTCATATTTTTTTAATTGCTAGTTTTTTTCCATTTTATTTTCAGACCAAATACAAGAAAATAAAGGTAAGAAAAGCAACAGGCATGTAAAAAAAACGTATACCTAAAGCCAGGAATCTTTGTTACTTTTGCTCGTATTGAGTTTCGAACTTACACACTTTCTGAGCTGGATAAAAATTTCAAACAATTGTGACTTTTTACTATTCGTACAGCACAGCTTAACGTTGCGTAGGAAGACAAGAGCAAGACTGTTCGAACAATTCATTCCAATTTTTAGAGAAACAAACTCTAACAGTAAAGCGAAAAACCCTCATGTGTTATTTGCTGTTTTTCTTTGATCATTTCAACTTTTTTAATTGCACGGAATTTGAAGGCTGGTTTAACCCTAAAATTAAGGATGGAATACATAGACCACAAAGTAACTAACTTGTAATTATTTCTCTATATTTTGTTACAGTGAGCTTAAAATTTTACTTCTCAGATTTATCGATAAACAATATCAATCGTAAATACTAATAGACAAAAGTTACAATGATAATTAATTTAGTATTAAGTTTCGCTTCATGATTAATATGCTCTTTTTTTTTTATCTTAGCATATGCTAATTTAAATGTTCATTGAAACGCATAGATTCTGTGTGGAGTTAAAAAGAATGTTTTCGGACTAGTATTAAAGAAATTCGCATACTAACAAGAGTAAATGGAATTCAGCTATTTTCTACAAAATTGAACTTATACGTGTGTCATTAATTACATTTAACAACTGTCTATACCTGATAAGGACATCCCACTAACTTACTATATTTTAAATATTTTGATCCAATCTGTTCAGGTATCTTCAATAAACAGAGTTTTAAGGAATCTGACGAGTCAGAAGGACCAACAGGAACCTTCTCCTCATCATGTCCCCATGACTGGACCAGAATCAGTTTATGACAAATTACGGTTGCTAAACGGTTCCCAGCCGTGGCCTTGGTACCCGACCGGCCCAACTCACCACTTTCACGGCATCCCTCCGACATCATCGCCAGTTGCTCTAGGCCAAAATGCGGGTCTTGTAGGACCAGTCCACGGTGGAAACGGTCACCCAAGTCTTGCAGCATGCGAAAGCCACCGTCAGGATCACCCTAGCGTTAAAAAAGGTAAATGATTTATTCGTTTGATTGTGAGAAATGACGATAGTTATTAAGTTGATAAATAAAAACGTTTTTATATTCTTATAACTATGCTAATAAAAAGGTTATTTGTTAAGATTGTATGGTTATCCCTCTATTGGTACCCACTGATCGAGCAGCAATATAGTTTCTCGATTTTTAAGTAAAAATGATTCAAAGACTCATCAGTGATCATTGGATTTTCAACAGTGAATGTATTATATATTTAACGTTTTGTCAGATACTAGTACAGATGTAAGAACGATTTGGTGAAACAGAAAGCAAGGTATTTTTGAATAAAGATTTAGGCAGCCAAGGCAGATATGACCCCCCATATTTGTTCTGAGAGAATGAAGATGAAATTACTTATAAGGTTCATCGCAGCATTTATTAAACGTGATCTGTCTGCTAATAGACTATAAATTTGGCTAAATTCATGCTATGAATATTTGAAAGTAAAGTGTACAATTTTTAGTGTAGTCTAACAGTTCGTCCAAATATGTATATACATTATGTACTGAATGAAAATATATTGAAACAAAAACATTACAGAATACACCCAGTTCTTCACATTAAAAAGTCCAAGATAAATACTTATAGCTAAAGAACTAATGATGTATATAATGATGTTAAAATAATCGTAGTTGAATAATGATAAACAAGTATTATGGAAATAAATTTTTCCTCTCTTGTAAAATTTTACGTGAAATTGTCAAAAGAGTGTGTCTCTCTCTTTCAGTCATGAAAAAAGATTTAGAAAAAAGATTAATATGAGCCACAGAATGTAATATTTAAAATTTTAAAACGACGGATTTACAAATTACACAGCCTTCGTATTATTCTATAGGTCATAGTTCACGTTGATCTTCCAACAATATCTAAAATAATGTGACACTCCGATACTGGTTCCACATAAACTTCCGTTTTTTCATCCTGACAATATGAAATCTAATAACCAGTGTGTATTTCCCATAATAAATATGTTTATAAAGACATCAATGTTACCTGTCTAGTTGCTGCCAATCTAGGCTGTTCTTTTCTAAGTATATTTGTCTCAGCTTGTAGAGGTGATATTATCTGCAGACAAATATAGTTAAAACCGCATATGCGACGAAAATATTAAAATTAAATAATAGGTTGAACAATCGCCAAGTACTTTTTATACTTTTATTCAGAGAATACAAGTATAAAAAAGAACTTGCTAATTGTTCAACCTATTATTTAACTTTTAGGTGATATTGTCTATCAAGTTAAAATTGTTATTATTTGGGATAAGATATTAGCTAAATACGTATTTTTTATGATACTCAACAAGGAGAACAATTTGTTTTGTTTCTTAAATTATATCAGTTAACTTAAGGACTATAAACTTCGAATATAGTACAAGTGTAAGATCTACAAACAGATGTAGCGAGATTGTTCCATTTTGGGTTTAAACTTCTGTAAAACTTGTTACCATTGGGATACTTATAAGCGTTTGCTTATTGCAGTAAAATTGGCCACGAGGTATGTTCTGCTGAGCGCTAGTTTAAGTTCTTTTGTTTCTTTTCACAACTATCATTTCAACACGTTATTTTATTTAAACAAAGAAATATAAAAAAAACCTAAGATATTAACACGTGTTCATATTTTTTGACATATTCGATGCTAAATAAATAGTTTTTCTTGACTAAAATCCTCGAATTATTCTCATGTGTTTGTTTGAGGAGGAAAATATTTTTTATACATTTTATCAATTGTGTTTCAACGAAGAAATACAATGCAGGCCCAAAGTACTTTATACAGTGGTATAATATAATTTGAGCAAATATACAATATGATAGCAAACATGGTTTTGTAGTTGATAAAAAAAGTTTGGCCTTCTGTCGAAGTTTACGAATATCTAACGTACAACGCTCTGAGAATACGTGTCGAAATCCATAAATGCTCAGTATACTACATTCTGAGAATACGTGTCTCGAGAGTTTATAGATGTCAAAGATTAACAAATACTAAGTATATAGGGCGTTGAATATGTTATATTAAAACGATTTTGAATATGCAAATCAGCTGCAGTCTATTTAAAGTTCGATGGAACAGCATATATCATAACTACTTTTTTGATATTGTTTGGCGTTGAACAGGTAGTATGATGCTACCTAAAATTGACTGTATGTAACAGCTCTTTCAGACACAAAATATATACACACTAAGATAACAGAGATGTGTTCAGATGGGAGATTTAGAATTTCTGTGACGGGGATATCGCTTGTACTTAATGGTAATGGAAACCAAAGGAATATGAATCATTTGGGGTACCAGAATCATCAAGAAAAAATCTGTAACAAATCGTACTGCAGCCGTGGTAAACTTGAGACAGGCTTGAATTCATTAACACTGACGTGTTCAGTGGCAAAAGCCGTACTCGTGCCCTAGGCAACAGTACGAAACATAATCGAAAGGATCTCTATCTGAAAGCGAGGCCAACAGGGTATGGGTTATTTTCACCAATATAAGACTTCCAGTAATATTTCTCGTTCAACCATCATATACCTCACTCAACTGGAGAATGAATCAGGCATTCATGCTATTATTTAAGAAGACATACTATTAATATAGCCGGACTTATCGTCTATGGATTTATGTGTGATCTTACTGTTGAAATGGGTGCTAAGAATACTGTGTCCTCGTACGCTAAAGGATTATGGATCTACAACATGTAGAAGTGGTATGCTTTGGACATGACAGTCTTTTATAATGAAAACTAAAAATGTATTCAGGATGGGGATATTTCGGGTACCTTTCCTTCGTAAACAAACGAATGATGACAACTCGAGGTTTTTACTTAATAAAAGCGAAAAAGCTATTTACTTAGCATCAAAATTGTGGTATAGCTTTTTCAACCCAAACTCTTCACAAATGTGATAATATCTTATACTTTTCTTTCTCTAATAATATAACATGTTGAAGCGATTTTTGAGAAAAAATGGCACGGTCGTCAGATAAAGCATGACCAGACGCGGCGATACAGACAGTAACGACGTGGTGAGGCTCCAAGTTCATTTTAATATAGCGTACTCAGTTTCTGTTTATATTCCGAGAATTTGTGTTGAAGGCCTATAAATTACGGGTGTGAATTACTTTAATACGACGTTCAATAGCATAATGTAGAAGGTGAGTCGCACATTGAGTAGCTGCTAAGCTGAAGATTATCAGGCCTTTGGTGCCGCTTCGAATGTGATATAATTATCATGTTAATTCTCCCAAAACTGTCTAAAAGCGCTTCAATACAGAACATTGATATAGTATATATGATGTTTATCCATCTATTATATGAATATTTAAAGTTGAATTACTCTTGGTACCGATGGAATATAATGCCCCCCCCCAAAAAAAAATCGACAGTTGTTTTCTGCATGGCCCTCCTATACGTTTGGTCAAAGTAGATAATGGATCTAACGATGCGGCGTGTACTACAAAACGGGGAGATCAAATAAAGCGAGCACACCTTTTGGTTTTTCTTTTCCTAGCCTCTAGTGCCAACTGATTGTCTAGCAAGCTACCATGTACATACGGTTTCCCGCTATAGAAGTCAGTGCCAAGTCGTCCATCCACAGTAGTATGGGATTCAACTTAGGCCTGTCGAAAGCTGTTAATGCATCTTCTTGTTCGAAGGAACACTCTGGGTTTTGTTCTTAAACGCACATGTCTGGAACCTGGCGAAGTTCAGAAACACAATAGTTGAGACCTCTTTTTTTTTAACCCTAGGCAGCGAGATACACGTGACGAAGGTTGAGGAGTGAAGGGGAGGGGTCGCGTGCGAGTTCTAGGTAGCCATAATTTCATGAATAGACCGCTCAAACGTTTGTGTGTGTGTGTGTTTGATCAGTGAAGTTTGTTAAGAACTTACACCGCTCAGCCTTTGTATGTTTGGTCTCGTTGTCTCCTCGTAGCCAGCAACGACAGAATAATCTTCTTTCCGAAGGAGTCTGTCCAGCACTCTAATCCTCTTCTTACCCGTATCGTAAGCAGAATCACAACAAAGACATAAGCGTTTCTCTTCTAAGGTATTCTTGGGCTGAAATACTGATCTCCATAATTTTCTATTTGATTTCCGATCATCTGTATCAGCCTCCCTATTTTTCGTTCGTATTGTATAAGATTTATAAAAAAAAATACTTACCCAAAAATATTTTAAAACCAAACAGGAGATCATCGTTGGTATCATACACGCCTGCTAGAAGTTTATTTACCATTTATAACCAAACTGTTTGCAAAATTACGAAATTTACAGATTTTATACAACGCTATATTTTAAGATAACTTTCCAAAGAACTCACTCCCACCAACTTAAGATATTTTACAAAAGTCTTTGCCGGAAGAACGGCTTTAATCCTGTTTTGCCTATTGATTGTCTCCATACAAAACGTGCAAAATAGGTTTGTAAGTTTTTCATGTTTCGATACAAGGCTGTGAAAAGCAAATACAATTATACAAAAGCACACAATGTTGACCATTTTAACAGCTGTATTGATAATCACCTACAGTAAAGCATTTCGATGTTTTCAAATAGTCACACATTTCAAGTTCAGTGAAGATTATAGAAAAGTGTAAATAAAAACAGACTAAGTGGAGAATAACAACAAACCAAACACTACAAAACATGAGAATGTATTGCAGAACAGTCTCCGGATGAGGGTTTAACGACAAAGTACAATAGACCTGTTTGCGGTTGATTTAATGCATGCCGAATTTACTCGCGTCTTTGTACTACAACTTGTTTACAACGAGCTTAAAAACTCCTTGAAACTGGTTTGTTTACACTCAGTTACAAACATAACATTAAATAGGCTATACTATAGGAGAGGTCGTTTACAAAAATCCAAACAAACAAGAAGGTATATTCCATAAGACAGATAAGACGAAGAAAAACATGCCGATTTATGAATCTAACTTTCAAATGGAGAGCAACTTTCGAAACGTCGTACTCTACATTTGTAGGTTTCTACAACAGGCAGTTGCTGTTCATTTGAAACTTAGATTCATTATGAATACTCTGCCTAAACAACCTATCAAAAATGACGATTTATATTTCAACGAATTTTTTGATCGATAGAACTTATCGAATACCTTCTTATGATAAAAATTCCATCACTGCCTGGCTCAGCATTGCCAAGTGCTTAGGGAGCTCGACTCTCTGGTTCGAATCGCCGTCCACCAAACATGCTCGCCCTTTCAGCCGTGGGGTCGTTACAATGTGGCGGTCAATCCCACTATTCGTTGATAAAAGAGTAGCCCAAGAGTTGGCGGTGGGTGGGGATGACTAGTTGCCTTCCCTCTAGTCTTTCACTGCTAAAGTAGGGACGGCTAGCGTAGATAGCCCTCGTGTAGCTTTGCGCGAAATTCAAAACAAACAAACCATCACTGCCTCCAACCTCACCTTCTCTTCCTTATCATCATTATTTTGATAAATCCATCATTATTTTCAGTCTTGAAAATATAAAACTTTTATAACCTTTTACGATGGATTTAGAGCTGTGTATTACTATCCTTATTGATAAAAAATGCTTTTATTTGCTAACATTAAGTTCTATTAAAACGAAATGGACAGATATAAAGTTGTGATACAGAACTGGAAAATAAAATTCAAGAAAATCAACAGCCCAGTAAATTTTTATTATGAGAAACTAACATAAGGAAACCAAGTAAGCTGATTCTCTCAGTGTTCATTTGTGATGAAAGATTCTGTGGATATTGCACTCGATAAATAAGGGCGTGATTGTGCCGAACAACGGGTGGATATTACGTTTCGTTGTGTTGATGATAGGTGGGGACTGCAAGAGTATGTTAAAGGATATCACAGTACCAATCGTTTTATTTTTAACGGAAAAGATGTATATTGCATTTTCTTTTCGTCGTTTGTTTGGTTAAAAACGTTTAATGTTTGTACTCCCTGAGTGAATTCACTTTTCTTGTATCTCTTTGTCTGTTTTGCTTAATTATTTTGGAAAGACTTATACTTTTAGAGTCAAAACACACAAGTACGTGGACCACATCATTTTTATGCCCACTCTCTGGTATGAAATAATTTGAGTGCATTTGACGTTTCTAGATATAAATAATTTTATGGTTAAAGAATAATACAATATTTGAACAATGTTTGAACTAGTAACAACTCCTCTTGATCGCGAGTATAAACACATTTAACCAGCTATAAGCTTGGAGATTAAGAACAGATAATACAAAGAGTTGCTGGAGAGGCGTCTTCAGGGCGCCATCTATAGAAGAATATACTAGTTATGTTGTCTATTATAGTAACACTAGTTGAGACTGTTACTCGGCTGTCAGAGGATTATGGGATTTGTGTTCAACGAGTTTATTATCAGATGAAATTCTGACCTATTTCTTTAGAATAGAAATGGCATCAAAGACAAGCTGGCGCCGCTGTCCAGTTGGAAAGCCGTTTTTCGGAAAGATGACACTTCAAATAAAGCTTCGCACGTGATTATTCTGATAACGACTCCCAACCCTCAAGGACGACCATACCTAATATGTATTAAAGTTATTTAATAACGATTTTCTTTGATAATGCCTTAATTACCTTTTCTATATTCATTGAAATATTTGTCAGACCTAATCATTTGCATTGCTAGTTTTTGTAAAAAAAACAACAACAACAACAGGATTTTCTTGTTAATACGAAAGCTATGAGGATATTAATACAAATGTTCATGTTCATAGTTAATTACCCGTCGTCCCTCATCATTAAACGGCTGTAATCTAGAAGTTTGCATCTGTATGTTACGCGTGCATTTTACCGTACTGGTACGGAGGCTTTTACAGTTTGAATCTGTATGTTACACGCGCATTTCACCGTACTGATATGGTGGCGTTCACAGTTCGAACCTGTATATTACGCATGAATTTCACCGTACTGATATGGTGGCGTTCACAGTTCGAACCTGTATATTACGCATGAATTTCACCGTACTGATATGGTGGCGTTCACAGTTCGAACCTGTATATTACGCGTGAATTTTACCGTACTGATATGGTGGAGTCCATTGTTTTAATCTGTATGTTAGGCCTGCATTTTACCGCACTGGTATGGTGAAGTTCACAGGACAGCTGAAGACATAAATGGTACTTAGTAAAGGATTATGTTGAGAAGTGCAGTCTGGTTCTCAACATCAAAGGAAAAAGTATGTTGATTTTAATGTTAAGTAGATCGCCTACATGATATGAAGTTCGTTTCGTTTTTGGACACCTCTTACAGCTCGTTTCGTGAATGTGTGTAATAATAATCCTAAACTGAATTTCTGGTATACCTATATTCCATAATTTTTAAAATAACTATAAGACAAATGTAATAACATGTCTGTCCAACGTGTTTATTATTTGTTCTCAACAATCGAAGACATAAAGCAAAAGAAAAACAAAATAACAACATTGGATTAAATTTATATAATGCTTATTTATCTATCTGTATATAATAGTACTGTCTGTTGTATGTCCATGTAACTACTTCTCAGGGTGTGGATCCAAAGATGGTATGGAGGTTTATTAGGTCCATGCGGGGGCATATATAAATATACAGTTTTGCATTTTGAGGTTTTTATGGGCGTTTTAACAATTTCTTCCACTACTTCGCCCCCTGTAGATGGATCTTCATCAAATTTGGTATGGGGAGTTTGGGTTCAGGGGGAGATACATAAAATTTTTCAGTTTTGCGTTTTGCGATTTTTATAGGCGTTTTTGCGCTTTTTACCACTACTTCGCCCCCTGTTGATGGATCTTCACCAAATTTGGCATGAAGGTTTGTTGGGTTCATGCGGAGAAATAAGCAAAATCTCAGTTTCAAATTTTTTTTCCTGCAGTTTTTATGGGCGCTTTTGCATTTTCTACAATTACATATAAGGGAAGCAGCTTTTCATGTGCTAAGATAACCTTTAATTAATCATGAATTTACATAACTTCCGTTCAGGGGACTGGTACTTCAGCTAGTATAAGATTAGTTTTAGATTACGTATTTAAACACTTTCGAAACATTTTGAAA